GAACTGATTTGGTGAAAGATCACAATAGGAACTGGGTTTGTATGAACATTAAACAAAAGTATATACAAGCTAGATTAGAATATAGTATAGCATAGTTGGATACAGATGTCTAGGTAATTATTCAATTTTGTATACAGTAGGATTTGAACCCTAGATCTCTTGCATAGCAATCCAGCAACCTAACTACTACACTAAGATCACCAGATCTTATTATTATATTTATTATTATTATTATTAGTATTATTAATATAGTTATTACTTTTTATTATTTGTATTATTTAAAATAAATATTTTAAAATAAGAAAAATAGTCATAATTATTTAGCTCTAAGACAAGTATTCTAAAAAACATTTAGAACAAAATAAATTCTTAAGTAACTTTGTAAACAAAAACTATAATTATATAATTATATAAGTTTCTTTTAAAACTATTATATAATATATAAAGAAACCTCAAGTTATAATCAAAAAGTTATAATTCACAAACAGGTTACAGGTATAGCAACTTGTATAGAACTATTTGGATGTCCTAATATTTGTATAGAAATTACTTAAATAGACAATAACTATTGTATATTCTTCATATAATTGCAAATAGTAAAAGATTGCCAATATGCAAATTAATAAAATTCTTTTCAGCAATATAAATCACCTTAACAATAAAAAATAAAAATAAAAATAATAATAAAATTATTAAGATTAGTTAAATAGTTGTTGAAATATCTTCAATTAAAATTAAAGACTTAGTAACTATTTGATTATCAAAATGTACTAATTTAGTTAACACAAAAGATGTAAAAAACTCAAAACGTTTCAAAATATAAACTACTCTAAATTTTTTTTAAGTAATGCTCGATAACTAACCAAATTCAGTGAATTTTTTATTTGAATTCTATGAAATTTATAGAATTAAATACCTTTAAAAAAAATTTCATTGAATTTGATTAGAATTATTTTAGTTATTAATATCAAATAAAGATACAATTTTAATTGACTAGATATTTATGTTGTACGGAAATTAAAATAAATCAAATATTATATTTATTGTATCATCCGAAAGTTCTAGTATTATTGAGTTTAATTGCATTTGAACCCTTCAATTTTCTTGGTTTTTTAATTTTAGTTTGCGTCTTATTATCAGGTTGAGAAATAGGTTTTAACATAAAAGTTGATTCGCTGTGATCAACAGCTTCAGAACTTTTAGACTTTATGGGCACAATATAAGTCTCATGAAACTTGCGCTATAAATCAGAAAGATTATGACCGTTAATGCATAAAAATAAAACATTTTTTTTAAAAAAAAATAAAATAAAAAATATAGATGCTGACCCTTTCATCTTTTAATTTCTTTTTCTTTTCTTCAAGTTTTTTACGACGAATTTCACTTTTATTACCACCGCCACCAGCTGTTAGTTCAACTCTTATCTAGAAAAATTTTATAAAATGTATAGTGAGGGTACTATAAGCATTCTTATTATTAATTAATTTATACCTGTC